AGGACATGTCCATAGTGCCCAGCAGAGTAGGCAGGATAACTCTGAAGCTGGCAGGCACCACACTAGTTCTGGAACCACAGAGAATGTAACTGATGACATTTTTGCACATGTATGACTTTCTGTCAGCACGCCTACTGATTCTGAGACTAGAAATCCTACTGCAGCAAACTGCACCTGCTCAAGTCTCTCTGTGCACAGTTACATATGGGCAAACTTAGTCATGAATAATTTATGCACTAAACTATAATTCATTACCATAGAATAGCTATCTGTGGAAAAAAGGAGTAATACGCCTAGGTTTTGATGTATGAAATAAATGAGCAATTAACATCATTTTTAGAATTGTAAAAATATTAGTATATTCATTTTTCTGATACAGGTCTTTCTATAATTTCATGCAAGGTTAAGTGACAAAAATTTTCACTGGTACACTAAAACATTGTAAAGATTATTTTTAGGAAATTTTTCTGTTACTGTTTAACATACTGTTATTCTTCAACATGATTAATACCTTGGATGAAGAAGTTAAAGAACTACTAAGTAGGTTTCTCAGTGACACTAAATTGGAGGAGCTGTGGGCTCCCTCAAGGGCAGAGAGACCTTGACAAATTAGAGATATGGGCAATCACTAACCATATGAAGCTTAAAAAGGGAAAATGCTGGATGCTGAGCCTGGGATGGGGTAACCCTGGTTTACGTACAGACTAGGGAGTGAGAGACCAGAGACCAGTGCTGTGGAAAGGGACCTGGTGATCCTGATTGATGGGAAGCTGAACATGAGTTAGCAGTGCCCTGACAGCCAGGAGGGTCAATTGTGTTGGGCCTGTATCAGGCACAGCATGGCCAGGCGGTCAGGGAGTGGATTGTCCTGCTCTGCTCTGAGCTGGGGCAGCCTCATCTCGAGTGCTGGGGGCAGTTTTGGGTGCCACAGCATAAGAAAGACATTGATCTGTTTAGAGAACATCCAAAGAAGGGTAATTAGGATAGTGAAGGGCTTTGAGGGAAAGCTGTATGAAGAGCAGAGGAAGTCACTTGGTCTGTTCAGCCTGGAGAAGAGGAGACTGAGGGGAAACCTCATCATGGTCTTCAACATCCTCATGAGGGGAAGTGGTGGGGCACGTACTGTTCTTTTCTCTCTCATGACCAAGTAACACAGCTTGGTCAAGGAGAGGAAATGGCCTGAAGCTGAGGTTGGGGGAGGTTTAGGTTGGGTATCAGGAAACAGTTTTTTATCCAGAGGTTGGCTGGGCACTGGAAGAGGCTCCCAAGGGAAGTGGTCACAGCACCAAGCCTGACAGAGATCAAGAAGCATTTGCGCAAAGTTCTCAGGCACATGGTGTGACTTATGGGGTGGTGTCCTATGTAGGGCCAGGAGTTGGACTCTGATGGATACCTCCCAGCTGAACATATTCTATGATAACAACCTCAACTAAGTCTGTTATTATAACCCTATAGTATTCCTTCTCAATTAATATATTTATCTCATTAATGTTTTTTATGCACAACATAATACCTAGAAATAATCTTGCCCTTAGTGAGAAGCTTTGAAATTATAAGAAACATTTCAGATAATCTATTGATAAATTGAAAATAAGGAAGTAGGATTTCTGGTTATTTTATTACTTTAGCTTGGGAACCTCCAGATCATACTGTGTGGGAGTTTTAGTTTTTTTGCCTTAAGCATGTAGCTTAGAATACTATCTATGCATTGTGTTGCAAAAAATCCTAACAAAAAACCCCATCAGAACAGGCTTGCTCTGACTGTAGTTTATGAAATGTGCTTTCATGAAAAGTAGTTACCACAGGAACAAACAGAAACTAATAAACCTAAATAAAAGACAGGTTTAACACTGCTGCCTTGGGCATGACTGCTCATGATGCCCATGCAATGCATCATGAACTGCATTGTACAGATTCCTGCTGACCCTGTGTAGAGAAACATCAAGATAAATTTTACTTGCCAAATTGAATGCAAGTCATTCTGAAATGTTTGGAGTTTTTTGTAACTAAATGGTGCAACTGACATTATATTTGTGTCATGTTGGTGCTTAGAATGAAAATTTAAAGTCTTGTGTTTGATTTGTTGGAAATACTAGTATTAAGACCTATATGTGATACTGTGTTTCTGTAATGGAAAAAGAAAAATGAATGCTGCATCACAATAGCATATTATGTTATTTGGGCACTTGAATTATCTTTTGCTCATAGCTTTTTTAATACATATGGATTTTGTGAGACTAAAATATGCATTAAATAAATAAGCTGAAATTGCCGTAGTATTTCAGTTTAAAATTATCCCAGTCTGCATACGTTTTGTATGCATTTTCCAGTAAAGTTACAGCTACTAACATAAAGAAACAAAACCAGCCAGATCTAATTGGTAGTCTCTAAGATGTAGCACTTGACTGTCTCTTCTGATGTACTTCCTCCAAATTGCAGTTTTCTGATAATGAGCCCCTGTAATGCTGTTTTCCACAGACATGAAGATAAAAGTTAAATATTATCAAGGTTAAAGGCCCTAGTGTAGTGAAAATGGGTCTTTCTAAATGAAAACTTGTCATGCTCCTTAGACATCCTGATGTGGAACACTGAATGGTCATCTTAAGGAATTATTTTAACATTATATAGGACTTTTGATTTGGTTTTTTTTCTTCTTCTTAAGAATTGTATATAACATGGGGTCTTCTGACTTAAATTTTGGATAGAGCTCTTGAGTTTACCAAGGGATTGAGAGTGACCACTTTGCAGATAATGCTTCTGAGTCAATTTCAATTAATTTGAAATTTAGTTCAAATTGATTCCTTTCAAGTCTCAATTAGAAATAAAACAGAGTAGCAAAATCAACTATAGGTATCTAGGTATGTAGATAATTATTATTATACTTAGGGGAAAACTTATATTGAATTTGCTTAGTGTACTATAAAACATTAAAACCACTTCTAATATAGTTAATGCTATTTACCTATTGTGCAAATAAAGTTAGGCAGATAGAGTTATTTTGTTATCATCACTGTCAGCAAAATCAGGGCAAAACACAGCCCATGCAGAATATTATGATATATTTGTAACATCAACTTAATATTATTGATCACAAGCTGTAGAAAGAGTAGGAGTCATAGAAAGGCCTGAGAGTTACAGACTATATAGGAGAGTCCCTGTGGAGATACAGCCTGAGGAGGTTTCTTTCTTCTTTTGATGGTATCAGTGTTATAGAAGAATTTCAGGACCTTAGCTCATGCAAATTTACATGTCATATTTCCTTTTTGGTCACAAATATTTAGTCATTATTTTCTTCCTAAAGAGCTTAGGTGCAGGGGTCCATTCATATCTGAAAAAATTATCATGACAAGATTTAGCAAGAGAATGAATTTCTATAGTATTTTCAAGTTCCTCTTAAAAGTCGGTTCTTTTGTTGTTTTGTTGTTGTTGTTTTGGGGTCTTGTATATTGTTTTTGTTTGTTTTAATGTGACAAACAACAATAATAAAAAGGCTATTACATTTGGATCTATCTTTGAAATTTTGAATATTTTATTTTATCCCTGAGTAAACTGTTCTGTACTTTAAGGTACTTCTTACACAAATGACCCAGACACTGATCTGCTTCCCTATGCCTAGTAGACATCTGATAAAAACATGCATTGTTGAATTACCTCATGAATTTAAAGTGACAAGAAATTACACTTCATAAAGTCAGAAAAAGGGAACTTAGTCATCTTGACTCATCCTGATCTGAAATGGAATACATGGGAGCAAAGTTGTCTTGTTTCTGAATGGGCTTTGCAATGTTGAAATGTAGAGAAAATGTATTCTCTACTTCTTGATTGCAATATCCTAGTTCCCATCATGGACAAATGGTACACTGGCCTTTCAAATTTTGGATTAAAACAAACACCAAAGGTGTATATTTAGAAAGCTCATTAAAGATTTAGCTGACATATCACAAAAAAAAAAAAAAGTATGACTTTCCTTGTACCTGTGGAAAAAAATAGCTCAGAGCTTAAAATATAGAAGATTTAAACTTCTATAAACACTGGATTTATTTGGGCTTTCTTACAAGTCCAAGGGATGGCCTTCCCGAGTATTAAAATAGATTTCAAAAATAGATTTGAAAACATTACTAATTTCATTGAATTGTTTTGGCATCTGTGTTTGTTATATTCACTTTTGTCATTTACTTGTTATTTTTTTTGGTAAGATGTAAATAGAGATAACTGACCTATAAGAAAAATTGCATAGTTAGCTGTAGTGACTCCTACTAAATATGCACCTCTTCTAAATTTCACTACAACTGAACATGCAGTTTATTGATTTTCATCTTTAGATGCATCTTTCTTTTTATAATCTTTAATTTATGAAATAGATAGGCATAAGGTATATTGATATTGACCTGAAGTTACTGTCACTAACAACATTTTTCAGCCTTCTGGTAAGTCATAAGAGGAAGAAGCACATGCATATATGTTCAACATTTCTACATTTTATGACCTAGTCATAGAATTTCTGATCTTAGAATTCACAGTCCTAGAGTATTTCAAATGTTTGGGTTCAGTAATATGTTGCGTTCAAGCTGTTTTGGATTTGTATCTAACTTACAGTATTCATTTACCCTATTTTTGTAATATATTATCTTCTGTGTCACCATGTAGGCTCTGCAGGGAGCGTCTTTGAACTTGATAAATTAATGATGGGATAAGTCTTTTTTTCCTCTTGGACCTACATTAAAACATTTCTGTAAACAGTGTTGTAGTTAAAATTCTCTCATGGAATGTCTTTGTATAGCCTATGCACTTACCCACTCTTTTGAGAAGTACTGAGTCATAATAATGAATGGTGCTTGTCTCATCTAGAGAATATATTTCCTTTGTCTGCTACTGAAAAAAAGGTGTTCCATCATAGTTAACTTTGAAATTTACTAGAGGGTGTGAAAGAACATCTCCTGTTGAGCCACAATAAATGATCAGAAAAATCATCTTTGTTGTGTTTCTATGTCTGATTCCAGGCCATCATGCTTGTTTCTCTCCCAAGGGATCAAGACCAACATGGACTGTGAAGAGGTAAGTTCTTAGCAATAAATCTGCTGAGGACTGATAAAAAAAAAGAGATTTAACTTGAGCTGTTTTTTCGGGAAGCATAATTATCAATCTGGAGAACCAAAACGTGTGTCAGAATGTGTCACAAAGAGTGAGAGCAAGTGATATTGCTGAAGTGGGAGAGAAACTTAAGGACTTTAAGGTGACCATTTGGTGTAGTAGATTCAGTGAGTATAAAAGATGCAGACAAGCTACCTTCAAGAAAAATGTCCTGTGTTGATTTTCACCTTAAAGATCATCTTTCATAACACTTTTTGACTGTGAATATATGGTTTTGTGTTTTCAGACTTACAGATGGACGAACTTACTCCTACATTACTTTTTCAATAGCAATTGTATTTTTTTCATTATATTGCTTTCCTGCTTTTTGATTTTTACAAATTTGTCCATTGTTTGTAATTATTTGACAAAATAGATGTATACACATTCCAGACAGGGTTTTTTGTTGAGTTAGGTATCATTTTATTTTGATTTAATGCATGCTTTTCAGGGTTTTTTGTTGAGTTAGGTATCATTTTATTTTGATTTAATGCATGCTTTTCTATTCTTTATGGCTTATTGGTCCACACCTTATACTAATAGCCATCAATAGAACATTGCATAGAGCTTTTGAATTTGCAAAATTTTATTTTTTATAAAATTTTCTATGAATATAAGCTATCTGCTGCTTTCTGCTTCTCCTTCTGCCTCTTATCCATTAATTTTTCCAGTCTTGCTTTTTTCAAGCAGTTGATATTCAGCAGGTCCAGTGATATACTAATAAAGTATTCTGAAATTAAACCATACCAGTCACTAATGGTTTCCAGAAGATTATTCAGACTCTGTAATAAAGAAGACTAAAATAATCTGACTTGTACCTCAGATCCAATGTTGGTGCTAATATTCATCTCTTGCAGTCAGCAACCTCAGGATCTCATCCAGGGAAGCAGGAGGATTCTGGGGACCAGCATGAAACACCAACAAGACGGGCTCCCATTCATGAAACCATTTATTCAGCATGGGAAGAAAGTCAGGTCCAGAACAGAGAGCTCCAAACAGAGGCACAGCAGGGGTTTTTGAGGGACAGAACTTTTGAGGGTTTCCACCCCTGAGAATGGAGTTCAGGGTCAGGGACCACTAGAAACGCAACAAGGGAGAAACCCCCAGGGACTCAAACCCAATCAGAACACCTGGGCCACCCTTTGCAAGGGGTTTGGGGTGGGACAATGTAACTCTTTGCCTCCCCTGAGGCACACTGCCACATCCATCCCCTGACTAAAAAAACTACTGTGACCTTATAGAATCACAGAATGTTAAAGTTTGGAAAGGACCTTAAAGATTATCTAGTTCCAGCCTTCATGCCATGGGTAGGGACACAACCCACTAGACAAGCTCACTCAAGGCCTTACCCAGCCTGGCCTTGAGCACTTTCAGGGCTGGGGAATCTGCAGCCTTCCAGAGCAATATGTTCTGGTGCCTCACCACTCTCACACTAAATAATTTCTTCCTGAGATTTAAACTGAATTTCTCCTTTTTCAGTTTTTACCTATTACTCCATGACCTATGGACATGAACATGGACAGCTCATCATGAAGAGTCCCCCTTTGGCTTTTCCCCTTCAGATGCTCAAAGGTTACTATGGGGTCTTCATTCAACCTTCTCTTTTCCAGGCTAAACAGCCCCAATTCCAGTCCTCTTATCAATTTTGCGCTCCTCCTCTGGACTAACTTCAGTAGTTCCATGTCCTTCTTATTTTGGGGGTCCAAAAGGGTATGTAACACTCCAGGTGGGAATTCAGCAGAGAAGAGAGAGGGGGAGAATCATCTTCTTTGATCTGCTGGCCATGTCCCTTTGGGAGCTCAGGATTCCATTTGCTTTCTGGGCTGGGAGTGCACACTGCTGGCTCATGCTGAATTTTTCACCAGCCATCACCCCAGGTCCTTCTCCTCAGGGCTGCTCCCAATCACTTCTCTGTCCAGCCTGTAGATATTCCTGGGATTGCCCTGACCCATGTGTAGGACCCTGCACTTGGCTCTGTTGAACTTCATATGGTTTGCACAGGCTCAGCTCTGCAGACTGTCTGGGTCTCTCTGGATGCCATCTCTTTCCTCCAGCACGTCAGCTGTATCACACAGCTCGGTGTTTTCAGTGAACTTGCTGAGGGGGCACTTGATCCCACTGTCCATGTTGCCAGCAAAGATGTTAAACAGACCTTGACCTTTAATTTTCTGAACTGCTATCTCACCGAAGTTACTTCTGAAAAAAATTCCGAGGATATATTTTAGAAACAAGGCAGTATTGCAATCACATGGTCTTTCTTCAAGAAGTTTTCCATGACTTATCAATTTGAGCCAAATTCACAGAGGATTAAAGGTTATGAACATAATTAAATTCCAACAAGTGTTATGAGATCAGCAATTACCAGTTTTGTGTTGCCAGCTGTTAGGTCTATCAGCATGCACATGCTTGCTGGCCAGCAGCAGCACACACAGCCACAGCATATGCTGTCACTTGTCCATCTGGGGCAGCCATGGAGCAATATACTGGAGAGGAACTGAAAGATTTATGAGGGTGAGAGAGATAAATAAATAGAAGTATGAAAGGCAGTTAGAAACATGAAGGACACACCATATTACAGAACTATTTCCTTCTGCATGTTGTGCTACGTAGTCATTCTCTATGTGCATCCTTTGTTTGGCAAATATAGATTCTGCTTTTGTAAAATTATTATGCTGAGACAGAAATGTAACTGATTTATTAGGGGTGTGGTTTTGCCTTTTTTGTTTTATGACTTTATTCTATTTTTTATTACTTTCTAAAAGTACTAGTAGTCGTATATGAAATAGCTGAAGTAAGTTTATTTTACCAGACCACTCATAAAATCTCTGAATTACCTGTCAGCAAAGCCTTTACTTAAAAGGGCTGTTTTCTTTTTTTCCATCAAATTTCTCTTTACAGTTAAGCAAATTATTTGGCTCTTTTATTTTTGCAAATGATATGTAAGAAGCTTCAGATTATTATTATTATATTGCAATTGTTAACTGAAAGCTAAATACAAACATATGGTAGGCTAGAAGTTATTTGATGTGTTCACTTTGAAGATTTCTTCAGCTGTCTGAAGTTCATTATTCACAGGTTGGAACAGACCCCCACCATTTCATACTCTCAACTGCTTTCTGATTGAATGACTGCAGCTTTAGTAGAAAAGAACATTTGAAGCTCATCTATCACATCAATATTCATATGCAAACTCAGATATTTCCCTAAGGAGTTGACACATCTTGACTTCTGGTTCGATCAAAAATCTGTTTTCTTCAATGTTTATGGACAAAATTATAAAACTTCTGCAGACTACTTGTGCTACTATAGCTGCAACAAGTCTGTATGTATAATAGGAAAAAAAAAATAATCACGGAAATACGATGTATTTTATTGTTAATAAATTACACCAGTCTTAAATGCTATCTGGCTTTATCCTGACTATTCAAATAATCTTGTTTCCCCTTTAATCCCATGCATTATTTCAAGCAGTGGAGTTGAGACTGTGTCACTCAGCTGAAAGCAAGGTTGTTTAGAGAAGATGGAGCGGGCAGTTGAACTGTAATCACCCTGAACAGAAAAGGTCTGAAGACAGCTGCTGTGGTCTTATGAAGAAGAGGCTAGTTGCATGGAGTTCATGTTTGCAATAAGTTGAAATGATTGACTTTCCTTTTCTAAGTTTATTTTACAAGAAGCTACTAGGTTGGCTAGGAATCTGTTTTAGCAGCTGAAATATAGGAAACAAAGACACATTTAGAACTTCTGGAAAATCCATAAATTATCTGGACCAAATACTTTAGTAGTTGACCATTTCTAAAGAAATAGAGATAGCATAAACAGTCCTCAGAAGGCTTGTTTCCAAAGCAGACAATTGTAAATGGATTGGGGATTTGTATGCCTAAACAAAGAAGCAAGAACAATGACTCTGTATTTCCTGTAGTAAATATGTTCTATTGGTCTCATAAGTAGAGATTATGAGTTCTAATATTGAGAGATGGAGTAAATCTTTGCTTTATATTACAACAGTTTTTGGATTGAACATATTCTCAGTAGGCTTTGATATTCCCATCCTGCAGTTAAGTAAGTTTTAAATGATACGACCTTATATATGAATGTATAGATTCTAATGTATTGTGTGAAGAACATACAGTAGAGACTGAGTACAAAGATTAATTGAAGTGAGATAAGCAGGCCTTTTATATAAGAAATATTTTCAAGAAACATCTGAAACAGGGCAGTTTGTAACAGCCATAGTCTTCTTCATGTTTTATTATGATAACAGTAAACATTCTGTTTTGTCAATGCTAATGATCCTTAACTTTGGCTTGGGATATCCAAATCACCTCTTGGTCTTTAATTTCAAGCAAAAATAAACATGTCTTTGCAAGGCATTGTTTTGGCCTTAAAGAAAATAGTATTTTGGTTACAGAGTCATATTTTTATAGATTTGGAAAGTGTATGGCAAGCATGTGGTGTTTATCAGTTACTGTAGGAAGATATGTGAAGGAGGGCAAAGTCTGTGTGAGTCTTACTTATTTCTTTCAAATATTCCCTCTTCAGTAGCTGAGAAGATTAATACCATTAATGTTCACAACTTTTGGTTGTTAAGATGAGAAAGTATTATTAACTTAAAATGTTCCTTTATGAAAATTTTTGGGTTCCAAGAAATGCAATTAGACAAATAAATTTGAATGTGTTTAATAAGCATACAATGATTCAATATTTAGACAGCTTGTTTTTGCTTTAGTTTTGGACTTGACTTTTTCAAAGTTTAGCTAAATCTAGCAGAATCAACTAAAAAAAAACAACATAACAAAACAAACAAACAAACAAAAAATCCAACATTGGCTAGAGACTATCAGTTTGCACAGGTGCAAATGGGTTTGATCATATGTTAATTTATCGAGAGCTGAGGGCACAACTCCAAACTGCAAAACCAGATGCTCTGCTTTTTTCTCTATGTGAGAGAGCTGGAAAAGAGAAAGACTGAAAACCCATGAATCATGGGAGGATTCTGTTTTTATGATCTGGAGTTTAAAGCAATCATAAAATTTGAGAAACTGGAGATAGTTTCAAATATATGGAGGCCAGCACTCCTTAAAAAATAAAAATCCCTGGTTTATCTATGCAGTTTATCTACTATGGAGGCTCTTGAACCTTTTCTTATTATTATTTCTGGTTTTCTTCCTATTCTGTATAATTCCAGCAAGAGAGATTCCCTCAAGCAAAATTGCTTTCCATTGTCATCCCTCCCTTTCCTTGATCTCTGGTGGCTCTTGAATCTATTATGGCACTCTGTATGAAACAAGCTTATGTCAATTCACATTCTTTCATCTCCTTTTTTAATTAAATTCACTTGTTTTTTAGTAGCACCATAAAAATGTCTGTTGCAGTTTATTAAAATTTTGCATTATGAATATTTATTTTAGATATAAACTTTCAATCTATTTAAACAGATAAACTGCCTCCCAGTGAAGTTGGAAGTGGGAGAGAGAAGAGAAATACAATTAGAAGGAGAAACTCTTCTTTTATAGAAGAAAGGCAGACCTTTCAGACCTGTAAACATATATAAAGCATAATATTAGATGTATTGCAGGCTACAGCTGGGTATTTGAGAGGGTTGGGGGGAATTAACTAGTAAATCTCTTAAATATTATTCCAACTGGGTGTAAATAAATGTTTCAGAAGTGATATATTTACTAGTACTGATAACGTTGACTTCCCTATTTTATCAACACCTTGCAATTAATTTTTTATTTTATGTTTTTCATGACCTCTTGACAGCTATTTTGACCTCCATGCTATAGTAAAAATACAGATCACTAATTTTCAAGTATGTATTGGAATCATACTTAAATTGAAAACGTGGTTTTCTGTAGAAGATCTATTACCTTTCATCCAGCCAAGAATCTTGGTCTGCTTTTCACAAATAACTGCATCTAGTTGTTATTTTAAATTCATTATGGCCAAATTTAATCTCTTGATCTTCTTTTTTAAAACATTTCACTAATTCATTTTCCATCCTAGGCAGAAACATCACTGTTCTCCAAATTACTTCCCTAATGTCAAGCTTAAACTCCTGCTGTCTCCAGGGGGATGCTTTCACTGGGTTTCTCTCAAACCTTGTCAGTCCAACTGTGCACGCAGTCAAAACATTTGTGCAAGCTTTTATTATTGCCTACATTAACTATGACAACATCTGTTCTCTAGACTTCCTTAGAGCAGCCTTGCTCCTCTGAAGTCATTGCAGGATATTGCTGCTATAGTCACCTTGAACTCATTTGCTGAGCATTATATTTGCCCTATTTATTGTCCTTCATCATTTTTAATTTTACCCCTTTACACTTTTTCTCCTCTGTCTTTCCAATAATTGAGTCCAACCATCATTGCAAAATCTAGTCAGACATCTAGTCAGACTTATTTCATTTCCTTCTACAGGTCAGTTTTGCTAAGACTAGGATCAATTTAAGAAACCATTGAAGTACCCTTTACATTCTGCTGAGTAGGTGTATTGGGTCTGGCTGAGCTGGAGTTCCTTTCCCCACAGGAGCCCTCACAGTGCTGTGCTCTGCATCAGGAGCTGGAAAGGTGTTGATAACACACTAGAGTTTTAGGTACAGCTGAGCAGCGCTGGCACAGCATCAGCGCTGTCTCTCAATATTCTGCACCCCCATTAGAAGGCTGCAGGTGGTTAAAATCTTGGGAAGGAACATAATCAGGCCAGCTGACCCAAACTGACCAAAAAACCATTCCATACTATATGATGTCAGCTCAGATATAAAAGTAAAGTAAAAGGAGGAGGAAGTGAGGACATTTGTTACTCAAAATGTTGGCCTTCCAGAGCTCCGCTTACTGAAGTCCTGCTTCCCAGGAAGTGGCTGGACATTGATTGCTGATGTAAAATATTTACCTCTTTGCACACAAACACATGACATTTTGAGTTTTGGTTTTGTTTTGGTTTTTCGCTTTTTCTAAACTTATGAATCTGTCTTATCTTCTTCCTCCATCTTGCTGAGGGAGGAGAGTATAGAGTGGCTTGGTGGACAGCTGGCATCCAGCCAAAGTCAACCCACTCCAATAGTATTAACTTATATCTAAGCTTTTTTTACCTAACTTTGTTTTTCCTGTTCTCAAAATGACAAAACATTGGGGTTTTTCAGGCCTTTTCTGTGTAGACAGCTTTCCAAAACCTTAAACCTGAAAAAGAGGTAAGTGAAAAATTTTTTTTAGAACTCCTAAAGAAAGCTGCAAGTGATCGATCAGATAGAACAGAAATTATAGCAATTCATAAGACATTCTCCCACTGTGGCCTTGCAGGCAGATTCCTACTTCCAAATTAGTTTGTTTATCACATCAGTGGCCTTGAGTTGGAACAAACTCTACCAGGTCCCTTTTGGCATCTGCAGAGTTCTCTTTCTGATATCTCTCTGGTGTGCCTGAGACATTGGAATCAGTCGTACATCAACCAATTCCCAAGAAGTGACAGATGTCCTGACACTGTTTGTTGCCTACTGCCTTTCCCAGAGCTACTGGTGTGGATGCCTTTCCTGTGACTGATGCTTGACTGTTCCTACAGAAGGAGCAATCACTCCATCCAGGATACACCTCTTCAGAGGAATGCAGACATAATGTACACAAGCATCGTAACATACAAGCTGAAAGTGCCATAACAACTGCTGCACATTTAGTTAACTGTCTTGGATTGTTTGGAGAACTAAAATTACTCTGGGGGCAAAAATCAAATATTTTTACACATATCTAAGGTGAGGCTGCATCAAACCCATATTTGGCAGAAAAAGCCAGATTCAAGACATTCTTTCCTATTTACAAGTTCAGCAATTATTCAGGCAAGTATCGTGCCTCTGCCTATAATGAAGGAATCCTGATTCAACCCATCCTGAGATAACTGATTTCTTGTATTTGAGGTGCCTCTCATTTCCCTGATTACAGAAAAAAGACAGTTGAGGCACCTAACTTTCAGAAGGCCATCATTGTGGCTTAAGGTTGGTCACAGTGTTCAGTTTTAACTTCAGAATACTAAGGTTTTGATCTGAAGTTTTAAAAACGAACAATTCAAAGACTTCATTTAAAAATCTGTTTGGTTTTATTATAAAATTATCAAACATGACAAAACACAGAAATAAACCAGGACAACCTGTCATATTTTAAGATGGAAAAAAAAAAACCCCAGTAAAATAAATGTCCAGTTAAATATGGAAATGCTTTCCATCAGTAGAATTTCCTAGAACACAGAAATCCCATACTTGCCAAGTTTCAATGGCAAAAAAATTAAGGTTGAAAGTTCCTAAAGACACAGCATCTTCCACCTACCTGAACTCAGCAACAACAGAAAAAAAAATGTGGTAGAAGAATTCTAAGTATGGCTTGCAGCATATCCAGTGTTGAGAGGTAACACATCTGTATCTGTATTTGGAATATATGTATAGTTGAAAAGTGCAACGGGAGTGCATTTTATATAATATACATAGTACAGTGGAAATGGCTCTTATATTTTATATTTCGTATTAATTCACAAAGTATGTTCATATAGGATTTGTTTTTTTCTGGTTGTAATAAGAAAAAAGATGTTTTCAATATAGCTAAAGATGAAAAAGGGAAGCTGGATAAAATGGAAATATTTTCTTACAAATCAGTAACATCATTACCCAAATGAAACACAAGAGTGATGATGGGGTCTGTATGTGCTTGGGGATAACTAATTCCTAGATGCAAGGTCCTTAGTAAGGTGATTCTTAGCACCTTCTGTGAATAACAAAACTATTCTAGTTGACATATTGACCATATAATTGCACTATTACTAAACCAAGGGGTATTTTTCATTTTCTGGTCTGGTATTAAAGCGTGAATATCAAGAAAAATCTGATCATTTAGTTAGCTCTAGCCAATTAATAGGGTTATGCATTATGTAAGACCGCAGCTATTTTGTCTTTCTTATTCACTTTTATTCTTAATTTTTCTTAATTTCCTAATGAGGCATTTTCAAGATACTTTGCCCATTGTAGAACCCGTTAGTCAAGAAATTGCCTAATTTAAACATTTCTTTTAAAAAAACCTTAATTTGAAATTTACTTAATAAATTTAAAAAATCAACTTAAAAAAGTTCCAAGGAAATGTTGCCAAAATTATACCCATTTTCCAAAAGATTTTTTAGTTGTTTGAACAACAGGCCAGGTTTGTATAGCAGAGGGGTTGCAGGGCTTCTGTAAAAAGCTGCCAGTAGCTTCCTCCATGTCCAGCAGAGTCAATGCCAGCTGGCTCCAAAATGGATGTACTGCTGGCCTAGGCTGGACCAATTAGAAACAGTTGTAATGCCACCTTGTAGTATGATAACATATTTAAGAAGAAGGAAAAATAAATTATTTTGGAGTTGAAATTGCATACAGAGAAGAGTGGGGTGAAACCATATGAGAGAAATAACTGCACACACCAAGGTCAGTGCAGAAGGAGGAGCAGGAGGTGCTCCAGGTGCCAGAGCTGAGATTCCCCTGCAGCCTGTGGTGCAGCCCATGGTGATGCAGCTGTGCCCCTGCAGCCCTTGGAGGTCCATGGGGGAGCAGAGATCTACCTGCAGCCCCTGGAGGAGACTCATGCTGGAGCAGATGGATGCCTGAGAGGAGGCTGAGAACCCATCAGAGGCCCCTGATGGAAGCAGGCCCTTGGTAGGGACCTGCACACCCATGGAGAGAGGATCCCACACAGGAGCAGGCTGTCCTTGAAGGACTGAACCCCGTGGAAGAGTGATCCATGCCACAGCAGTTTATTGAAGAACTGTTGCCTGTGAGATGGATTCACATTGGAGAAGTTCATGGATCTCCCATGGGAGACACTCCTCACTGAAGCAGGGGAAGGACTGCCCTGTACTGTCCCTGAGCTGCGGCAGAAAAAATGTGCGATTAACTATCCTCCATTCCTTGTCTCCCTGCACCACTGGCTGAGGAGGTAAAGCTAGGAAGGAGGGAAGGGTGGGAGGGGGTGGGAAAGTTATTTTTAATCTTATTTTACTTCTCATTATCCTGCTCTGGTTTTGTTAGTAATAAATTCACTTAATACCACTAATTCTAGTCTGTTTTGCCTATGCTGGTAATTGGTGAGTGATCTCTCCCAGTGCTTAGTTAATGAATCCTTTGTTACATTTTCTCTCCACTGTCCAGTGGGATGTGATACAGAGGGAAGTGCTACAGAGATTTTGGTGGGTGTCTGGCACCCAGCCAGGGTCAACACAATACAATAGCCAATACAATACAATATTGCAAAGTTAAATAAAGTTATGAAGAATTAATTACCCTTACTGTCTGCTAGAAAAATAGACATTATCTGTGATGAACTTAATAATAAGGAATAGGC